AGCAGGAGCAATTTCATAGAGTGAAATGCTCTTGCTTGTTAGTGATTTTTAGAACTTGGTATTTGGTATCTGATTTTATAGTGTTGTATAATAGGTACAATATGGACAGGCTTTGCGTTTCTGCAGTGAAATAAATGCAAGTTGCTAATATTTCAATGAATTGGTGGTGCATTTTGAGTGGGGTTGATATCATGGCTTTGATGGATTTTGGTGATTGGTATGAAGTGAACTTACCTTTGTGTTTGGCATTGCTATTATGTTGATGAGATTGCTGGTGAGTAAGTAATGGAGAACTTAACTTAGTTGTAGATTCCATGGAATGTGTTAAAGTGGTGCCATTTCTTAGGTGATGTGTTTGGCTTTGACCGATATTTTTTCATCTCCTTTGAATCCAAGTTCATGTTAAGCCAAGATTTTCATGTCTCGGCTAATTCCTTTTGGCCCAAGAAGCGGCAGCTTTTGTGGGAGATTATATGATATGCTGCAGGGTTTCCATTGATAAATTAAATAGAGTTGTTTGGATGTTACTTGCTGGTATGAGTGCTTTACGTTAGATATGCTTGAAATCTAGTGCTTCTTCTTGTGATTTCTCTTACAGATTTTGTTGATTGGTTATTCCTTGTGTTAATAGTTATGGTTGCTTTACCGACTTTGGCGATAAAGTGTGAAAGTAGTTAATGGGTTTAATAGAAGCGGGGGTTTTGTTGATGAGAGTGGCCATTTTTTAAAAAAAAATGAAATAACATTTTAAAAAAAACTGCAAACTACGTTAGCAAGTGTTAAATCTATTCATGAAGATGCTTACACACACACACACACACACACACATATATATATATGAATCACATGCCCTTCTCATTCTACGGATGCCAATAGAAGATTTATCCAAACTTCAAGCCCTTAACTTAAAAGTTCTAACCACAAACAAATAACATACAAACTCATAAAGATATCCCTCAATTTAAGATATAAAATATGGAGGGGCTGGGAAAAAACTAGAAACCTATGAGCTTTACAGTTAATTTGTGTCTAACTAACTAATAAGCTACTGTAATCAACTATCTTCACATTGCAAGCTTGTCTTGATATTTTTCAATGTGCATGATATAAGTGTGTTAACAGAATCCACAGATTCCATGGTTGGTTTGGCTGTGGGAGAGGTATTCGTTAGGATTTGGAATGCTATCGTTAGCAAACATCCTCCTTCCGTGCTCCTCTCCTCTTGCCTAGAAGTGATCACTAATGGTCTTGATTCGTGTCCATCTGGAAGAATTGAGAATCCTGAAGGTAATATTGCAAGGTTGCTTGAATCACATCCAGTAATCACAGATTGCATTCCATTAGTGTCCACTGGAGCATACACTACCATGGATTCATAAGCATTTGTGCAGCTATCTTGAAGTACCCACATGTTCTCTTTCGATTTCATCTTCTGCAATTGAAAACAGCTAGTTAGAAACATGAATGTTGAAATGCACATTAGATTAATGGCGTGGTCTCCTCTTATCTGAGATGTGGATAAACTTACTAGGATAGCTGCTGCATTGCCTCTATCTTGCCCTTTGATCAAGTTTGCAATGGTTTGCACAGGTCCTCCATTTGACATGATATCCCACTACATTTTATGCAAAAAATATTGTCAGACAAGTTATCTGACAAAACTTGTACTCTTTAAGTTGCGCAACTCAAAGCAGGAATATCCCATTTTGATAGGATTTTAACTGAGTAATGGCATATTTTTGCTGTACCTCATTTCTACGAGCTTCGTCTCTTAAGAAATCAAACAGAATGTGAGGAACGACAGGCAACCATACAGAAGAAACTGCACACAAAATCACTCCAATAGGTTCACCAGGGTCATTTAAGTTTTTCCTAGAGGAAACCCTTATGTCTTCTCCTGTTTTGCTTGAGACCTTGTTCCATGTGTGATAGCTTGATGCGCAGATCGCTCGACAAAAGCTCCATGTCATTCTTTGTGCCAGTTTCAGAATGCTTTTCCTTCCAGCTAGTGTAGCAACACCTAGATATTTACAAAAAAATAAAAAATAAAAAAATTCATAAACAATTTTATTTATATAGATAGCAGACAATCCACAGGAAAATATGGCAACATAGTGTGGCTTACCAGTTGAATCCTTGGTGGGAACATTGGTTGCCATGAAGAAAACAAGCCGCTCACATTGGAGTTGCAATGTTGCCATCCAATGCCTTGCTCCAAAGGTTAGACCGCTATGAACTACTGTCCGGTACATGGTATGAACTGTGCTTTTCTGGCATTGCAGGTGTTCCACCCAGATCACCTGAAAGGATTGTTATAAACTTGTCAATGTCAAACTGTTAAAAAAGAAAAGAAGATGATTTAGTATTATGGCATTGTTGTATATGCTTGTCTCTATAAATTTGAATTCTTGCCTCTTTTCTTCCTTCTTTCTTCTTCAGTTTCTCCAGTTTCCATTTAAAAAAAAAAACTGAGGATAAAGCATGTTCAAAACCCAAAGCACATGTACCTTGCAATGGCCATTTGATTTATCCTCAATGATGCAACCAGAGGGGCGTTTTCTGCATTTGACGAGTGAAGCATCAATATTGTCTTCAACTTTGTCAATAGAAACATCAACAATGGCCCATTGTTCTGCATTAAGTTGCTTGCAATATCTCACAAAATAAACTTCTCTGGTGGGAACCATGGGTGTAAGCATTTGGACCTCCGCAAACATCTGCAAATAAAAAACAAGAACAAATAATTGGTAAGAGCATGCAGACTCAGCTAAGAAATGAAGGCCAACGAGCACACAGTTCAAAGCAATAAAGTCAAGAAATTGATGTTTTAACAGGCCCGAGCAGGAGTTTTTTATCCATTAATTTGTTTTCATTCATCAAAACAGATAAGGGGGTGTTTTAGGCATTTAATCTTTTGATTCCCAATTAGTCACCTCTAACCGTAAGTAAGAGGGTAGTCAAACTGTCCAGGAGTTGGACCTTCAGCTGGACCAGCTAAGGAAAAGTAGATCTCCATAAAACACAAGGTCCCACATAAATATATAAGAAAAAACACATTTTCTATGACAGCTGGGTGCTATTAAATACAACGCAAGGACAGTTCCACAGCAGCCATCCTCTCTGCAGAAAGCAGATTGAAGGAAAGAGGCTCCCTACCTCTTTCAAAATATTAATTTCGTGGACACTGCATTTAATGTTGAAAAGGAAAGGGAAAAATATTCCCACTCTGTTTTCTTTTCTTTTCTTTTTGTAGTTAATTGTTATTTGAGGTTGAAAGCCTTTTTGAGATAGGGAAAACACAGTCATAGTTCATTGACAAAAAGCTGCTGCCTTTCTCTTCTCCTTCAAGTATGTACTATGGCTTTCGTCTTCACTGAAATGGATGCTGATTTCCCATGCAGAGATCTCTACCTTCGTTCAAGCTGTACTAGTGCCAGTTTTATATGAGATGCATGTTGCTAATTAGAGCTGTAACTCACCAATTGCACTGCACCATTTCTACTCGCACCTTCACCATTGCTGATAACATCAACAGTGGCTGCCTTTGAAATTAGGCATGGAAACATTTCCTTCCACTGATCCTGTTCAAAGGGATAAAAAGATTATTGGTAATACATAATTAGTTAAAGGGAACTAATCTATAATTAATAATTATATGTGGTATACTGCTAATAATTATAATAACTCACCACATCCATAAAACTTTGAACTAGCCTTGGGACATCAATGAACACAACCCCTGTCTCCCTTGAAGCCTCAATGGATCTCTTTGGCCTTCCATTAATGCTTGAATCTTCAGAACCAAACACTTTTGTGTACTCATCGTAATTGAGAATTTCACGACCTGTCTCAACACTTCGAATCCAAAGTGGTTCGCCTGTCGTAGCCATTTCCTTCAGCTCTTCCATTGCTTTATTAGCAGTCTCCATGATTCTAGACTTGTCAAGTCCGAAAATCCCAGTGTAAAAATCGAGTGAACTTCTGTTCTCTTGCTCGTTTCCAGCTGAGCATGATGCTGGTGCCCCTGGACTGCATTTTCCCACGACCGCTCGAAGTTTTTCTACCTGCATGACATGACGATCAAACTTATGCTAAGCATGTGATTTGATTAATATACTACAAAAAAAAAATGTTTGATTTTCTGTAATAATTAATATTAATTAACTAATTAGGACCACATTATTACAATCTTAATGTCTAACCTCGGCTTTGAGCTTTGCATTTTCGATGCGTAACTGTTGTTCCTCAGTGCTTGTCAAGGCAGCGTCTCTACTAGTGGTAGCGGTGCCACAATTTGGGCAGCAAGCTTTGTTGATGGTCTCTCTCATGCTCTTGTTGTCTTCCCGGAGTTTATCCATTTCAGATTTCAATAGAGAGTTTTCATGGCGCTCTTGTATAGCCTGCGCAATACAATTAGCAACAGCCATGGTCATTAAACCAGCAAGATAATTAACCAACTGTATTAATGAGGGAATTATTTAATTTGATCTATCCTACATATAGCACCAACGTACGTGCCTTGATTTGAGTACGGCGATTTTGGAACCAAAACTTGACTTGTCTAGGAGCAAGGCCAAGTTGCTTGCTTAACTGCTGCCTTTGCTTCTCATCTGGATGAGGAGACTCCTTAAATAGCCTGAGCATTAATCATTAATCCACATGAGTCATTAACGTGAACGTTCATGGATGATCAAGAACACAATCCTGGTCTTAGATACATAGCATAAACACATTTGTTAATTAACAAGTTAAAATTAGGAATCCTTTTAATCTGTGTGTTGAGCACTGTTGAACAAGGAAATAAACTTTTTTGAGTCGTCTTTTTAGCCTTACAATCCTGTTTTCTTTCTCTTTTAATCTTCGCGAGCATACCGTTACCGTACCTACAAAATAAAGGACAACGAGAGAGAGAGTGGGGGATAAGAATACATACGCTTCCATTTCTCTGATTTGCTCAGCGGTATGTCTGTGGTATTTCTTTCTCTTTTTTTTCTTGTTTTTGTCATCACCATCATCATCATCCTCGTGATCATGCTCTCCTTCACCTTCAAAATCATCATCTGATTTTGATCTCATAGGCCCTGAGTTCTCACTGCTAATTTCCACTGTTTCTTCCCTTCTTCCTCCTCCACTTCCTTCCTCCCCCTCCTCCACCTCCATGCTTGCCGCTGCTTCCCCATTACCCAC